GAGCGCTCGGGCCGAGCCCCGCCCCTAGCCAGCCCCGGGGAAACTTACGGCCGGGCGAGCGGGCAGGCAGTGCTGGAGCCCGCGGTCCCCCGCGCTACATCCCGCGGCGCTGGCGGAGGCCTGCGGCCGAGCGGCCCCGATGCTCAGCGGCCTCCCCGCGCCGGAAGGGGCGCGCGACCACACGGCGTCACCTCCGCAGCGCGTCACCTCCTTGGGGCCTCCTCACCCCTCCAATCCCGAGCGTTGCTCCCGAGTCCCGGCGGAGGCCGCCCTCGGCCCCGCCCCGCCGTGCTGCGCTCCAATCGCGCGCCGCGACCGTGCCGGCTCCGCCTCCGCGCCGTCCAATCGCAGGCGGGCCCTCGCAGGCACAGACCCGGGCACGTGAGCAGGGATGCCGGGGAATCAGGCGAACCCCGCGGAGGAATGCTGCGATACCTACCGGACCGCACGTCGTATTTTCCCTATTGCAACGCCAGTCGATTCATCTTCAAAACACTTCCTAATCCCAGCTTCCCCAACCCCTCCCTCCCTCCCTTCCTCGTAAGATTTATTGACTACCGTGATCCGGGCACTGAGCTAGGCTTGAGTTTAGGCTTCTGTTCTTGTCATAGAGGCATAATTGTTTCTAACGAGTCTTGCTTGGAACACACCTCCTGGTCGCATGTGAACACCCCAAAAATATACCTGGAAGACAGTCTGGGTCAGTGTAGGCTTCCTCCTGTCCCCGCACAACAAAGAAATCGATTATTTCGCCATCATTTGTATTTATTTTTATCTTTTGAGACAGGGTCTCACTATGCAGTTCAGGTTGGCCTTGGTGCTCAGTTTGTAGCCCAGACTGGTCAGAACTTGCAACTATCTGCCTCAGCCTGCAGAGTGCTGCTGGTAGTACAGGCGTGCGTCACCATGTCTGGCCTTGGCTTTTTTTTTTGAGACAAGGTCTCACTATGTATGTAGTTCAGGTTGAACTTTAACTCACTAAGTAGCCCAGACTGGCATTGAACTCACAGTAATCGTCCTGCCTCAGCCTCCACACAAGCGAGGGATGACCATTTCCTCATTCTCCCACGGATGTCTTGCACTTAAAATCACTAGATATTGCGGAAGGAATTTAGCATGAGGTGAGTGTGAGGGTTCACTCCTGTAATCCCAGCACACTTAGAGTGACTTTGTGAAACTATCTCTGAATAAAAACCTGGGGATGTAGCTCAGAGCAAAGGCCTCAACTTTAATCTCCAGTATCAGCACAAAAAGAACAAAAAGCTTCAGGGTAGGGGGGTCAGTTCCAGATTAGCATGAAGGCTTAATAATACAACATGTTTTCCTACAGTTCCTGGTCCACAGCTATTAATTCAAAGATGTTCTCTTTCCCCTTTTCCTCTGAATCTTTCTCAACTCCCTCCCGTCCCAACCTTATAGTTGTACTATACTAGTACCACATTGAGTTGTAATGATTTGTTACCTATCTTAAATTCTTTGGGGATTTTGCTAGGCACAGGACAGGTCCTCTTGAAAGGTTTGTATGCTGGGTGTGGTACTCTGTGCTTGTAACCCCAGCACTTGAGAGGCTGAGGCAGTAGGATTGCTACAAGTTTAAACCAGCCTGGGCTACATAGTGAGTTCAAGGTCATCCTGAACTACACAGCAAGGCTTTCCCTCCGAAATAAAAAGGGGAAAAAAATTAGATGACCAAGAAATGTTGATGGAGGTGGGCACAGTGGTGCACACTTCTAATCCCAGCACTCTGGAGGCAGGGGTAGGACAGCGAATTCAAAGCCACCCTAGAGTACAAAGTGAGTTAGGGCCAGCCTGACAGATAGTAAGCCCTGTCTCAATAAAAAAAAAAAAAGGAAGAAAAGTTTGTTCTAATATTGTTTGCACAATTAAATGCTGATATCTTGTACTCTGAGTAAATGATTTCAAAATAACAATATGCAGTATATTAATTATTGTTACTTTCCTATCACATCATTTTGAAATAGTTGTTTTCTTAAAAAAAAATCAAAAACACTGGGTAAGACCACCAATGAAATTTACCAAGAATCTCTGCCCCAAGGAGCGTGAGTTTTGAGGGTCTCACTCGGGTTCTCCTGGGGGCCACAGAGACAGAACACAGATCCATGGTGAGAAAGCAATGTTGAACTTCCTCCTGCACCCATAGCATTGCTTTGAGTAAGACTAACAGAAGAATCTGGAAAGGCTGCCACAGTCTCAGCCAGGAAGATGGAGTGGACTGGGTCACGCTACTCCAGAGTGGCCCATGAGCACAGGGGAGGCCAACACTGCCAGCTCCTATAAATGTGACAGGCAGCTGGTGATGTCAGGCTGCTTTTTAAAGGGGAAAGCCTCTCTTCCAAAACGAAAGGCAATACATTGGGTTGTTCACCAGGTACCCTATATGTCACATACAGTCAAGAAAAAGTCAGAGAAGTGGAGGGGCCAAATTGAGGGACCCCCTAGGAGGGTTGGGCTCTCCTCTGACCTGTGCTTCGGGCCCCAGCAGCACAAACCTGCAGGGCTGGGTTGAGTTCTGGCTCTGGAAACAGCTGCTGGGTGGAGACAGTCTGCTGGCAGCTCACATTTCAGCACATGGGCAGCTGCCCCAAGACTCTTGGGAAGACCCATGAGTCTGTGCTGGGAAGCCTTTCCTACCAAAGTCCTTAGCACTAGGACACCAGGACCCCAAGCACGACAGCGCCTTTAGGTATCACACTGGGGCCTCAGCCCCATTTATTTGAATTGCCAGAGGTTCCTTAAATAAGCAGCAGTCTTAGGTTGTGGGCAGCCTTTCCCCCTGACCTGGGCAGCATCCAAGAGACACAGACGCACAAACGTGTATTTCAGACTCCTTTTTCTGAGGTCTGGAGTCCTGAAGAAACTTGCCTATCTCTATAAAACTCCCTCTCTAGGTCCATTCAACATGCACTCACATAAACAGAATTTGCCCAAAGGTTAAATACTAAATATTAAGTAAAACTCTGCATTCCTTTCATCACAGACTTAAAGGAGGTCAAGTGTGATGCTATCGAGGAATGAGCCAGGCTTGAACAAATGTGCATGCTCCCATCTTTCTGACCCCAGAGAGATACTTCTCCATGGGATTCACCTGAGCCCTTTAGAAGAACAAGATGTGGAGATCTTGCAGGGAACTCCTTGGCCTTGGCCCTCTTCAGTGGCTCCAGAGTCTAGCTACTTTCAGCTCCAGAGTAAGTTGCAAAATGGACACTTTCATGAAAGGAATCTACAGCTCATAGAATTTGAGCACTGGGGGACAGTTGCTGATATGGGTCCAAGGAAGGTAGGAGGTGCTCAATAGGTAAACCGCATCTTTTGCAAGTAGCCCAGTTTGTCCAGGTTGGGATGGCAGGCCAGCTGCACCATCGGGGGTGGCCCACAGAGCAGCAGCAGTACATCATCCCCTGGGGCAGGCAGGTGCTCCCGGATCATGTCAGCAGTCACAAAGCCCTTGCTGTAGGCCCAACCTGAAGTATAGAGAAGAGAGAACTGATACTCCAGACCCAAGTTGGCAAAGCAATGTGGCACCATGAGGATGGACCACCGGGAAGGGCTCCTGAAGTCTTACAGCTATGGCCATCCCTGCCCCCCACTTGTAAACAGGGTCCTGAAGGACAGGGACTAGGAGACCACTGTGTCTGGGCACTAAGACTTGGGACTGTGGCAGTGTTAGGGAGGGTTGGTTTTGCAGAAACCAGAACTTAAAGGGGATAAGAAGGGCTACTGGGAGGTCCAGAAATGGGAAGGGTACCTGCTGGAGGATGGTCCAAGGTGAACCAGAGCTTAAAGCGATTGGGATATCGGGCCTGCAGTTCCTCCAAGTCTTCCCGCAGGATTATGTCCTGTTCAGTCTGAAACACAAAAGGCAAGCAAAGCCTTAGAAATCTTCTGATGTAAAAACAGTTCTCTGCCATGAAACTTTCTAATCAGAAGAAAACAATGCTACAGGCATACTACAAGTTAGCAAATCTTGCCGTGCTTTCATGGGATGAGTAAAACAGCCTTTCTTTACACATGAAGGAATGAAATATCTAATAAGGAAGACTCCAAGTTTCTGTGTTTAGCACTAGATCCCATAACTCTTTTCTTCTTTGCTTGGCAGGCAGAGAAGGAATCTGGCCCATTACTCAGCTCTTCTTTCTCCTTCTTGTAGCAGTGAGTCTTGTACCTCACTCAGGGAATCTGGGACAGAGGCCAGAAGAGGTACTGGGCCTGTTCTGCCCACAGGTTCCACAGATTTTGTTCCTACCCATGTAGCAATTATAAAGTGCCAGACTGAGAAAAGCAAACTAACCTGGTTGGCAAAGAGCAGAAAACACTGGGTTGGATCTTCAGGGACTTTCAGAATGGCTCGGATCAGCTGCAGCATTGGGGTTATTCCTGCATGAGGATACCCCACAGTGAGGCATGGTGGCCGTACTCTGCTCTGCCCTAGCTCCTTGGCCCACCCGCCCTTGTACCTTAATTCTACTAATTAGCATTCTGCTCCATTTTCCTTCTGTATTGCTCTTCTGACCTCCTCCCGCATGTTTTGCAGCATCTACATTTCTGGATTCTCTCAGTGTTCTTAGTTCACATTGTGGATACCCTTGTAAGGCTCTTGCTCTCAAAGTCTTTTGGAGGCCAGGGACTCAGATGTCACAGATGACTAGATACTGACTGGGTAGATGAGGGTTCTGGAACATGGACTGGACTTGTGGAGGCTAAGAACATCTCCTTTGGAATCAGGCAAGGCCACATACTAATCCTATCTCTGGTCACTAACTAGTGACTCTGTGGAAACCCTTTAACCTCTCTGAATCTCCATATTCTTCTCTACAAAGGGAAAGACTAGTGCATACTTCATGTGTCTCATATATAGCAGTAACTGAAACTGTACACAGTATCTAACATTAGTGTCTAATGCACAGTCATGTCTAATGCTAGTTTTCTTTTTGACTTGTCATTCTTAGCAGTTTTTTTCAGCACACAATTAAAAATTATTAGATGCATTCAATTTGAGGAGAGGCTGCCTGATTTATTGCCCTCATTTTACTACTTAAAAATCTTGGAGGGTTTGCAAGGGAGATGGCTCAGCGGCTTAAGTGCCTGTCTGGCAAGCGCAAGGACCTGAGTTTGATTCCTAGTACAAAAACCCTGGTTTTGGAGGGGCTGAAAGGGGGGGGGGTAAGGAAATGGGAAAGAAAAAAGAATCAAGTCATATTGTGTATAGGTACAAATTCTCTATGATGTGATCACTATGTATATCTAATATGTACCAATAAAATCTGATTAAAAGTAACAAAAAAGAAAGGAAAAAATAAATAACATTTTGGGAGATGAGTTCTACTTGCTCAATTTTATTTTTTTAGTTTCTGATGAGGTCTAGGTCTTGCTGGAAACCCCTGATTAACTTCTCAACTATGATTATCAAATATTCAGAGATCACTTGTCTGCTAACAACAACTGTGGGAGAAAATAGTCCTTTGAGTAATACACACCTGTCCCTCCAGCAATCATTCCCAGTTTCTTTGCCTTTCGAGGCTCTGGTGGAGATTTCTTGTTGGGTTGAATGTTAAAATTTCCTGTGAGACCAAGAGAAGAGAGAGGCAGCAGAACAAGGTGAAAATAGAAAACTAAGTAAACAAATGGAGAACTGAAAATATGCCTGAGGCCAGTTGAGCAGCTGCGATGAAATCTGATCCTGGAACTCCAGTAGAGGTTTGAGTTGAGTCAGTCCTGACAATAATACACTGAAGGGCAATGGGGCCAAAGCCACCAGTCCATAGTCATTTCAGGGTCACAATGTGAGTATCAGCTGCTTCTGGCAGGTCATTCCCTGGTGAGGGCGACAGGCAAGGGGCCAGTTATGACTCTAGCTTCTCAAGAGACTGAGTAGCTCTAAGGGCTTGCTAAAGCACCCCACTGTTCCCTGGGGAAAGGCTGAAAGCAGTCTTTCCTGAATCTCTTCACCGCTCAGCCTGAGGGAAGAGTGTTTGAGAGAAGGGACCAGTTTCATGGGCTTGCTCCACTGCTGTCTGTCACAGCTGGTGAACTGCAACAGATTGTCTAAGTGCAGCTCTCCAGCTATGTGGCTAAGAGCTATGCTTCTGCAGTCTGCGCTATGTTGAGAAGGCAAGGCAGCTATAGCCCTGGTACACATGTAGGGGCACACACACACGCCGTCACACAGCGCCAAGAAGACTGAGAACTGGACAAGAGGTCGACAGGCTGCAGCACATAGGTCATTACCTTTCCCAGTGTAAGTGAGCAACCCGCTCGGCCCCCGGAACTCCACCACATCTCCAATTTTCAGGCTATCCAGGTATTGAGACATCTTCCCTCCCTCAGGAAACTTGGGGTGCACACCCTTCAGGTAGACCTGATAAAACAAAGAGGAAGAGAATACCTCACTTGGGATGTCTTCAAGGCAGGGTAGGACAGGGTCTCTGGCAGGTTATCTTTTCCCAGTTCACAGAGTTTCCTCATACACAATAAGGAAGTGCCTTCTCCTACCATCCAAAAAATTCTGGGAAGTGTCTACAAATTCCAGAAAAAGTGGGCCAAGGAGATGGCTGGGGTTCTTTCCCCCACTCTTACCTTGATGACAAGATCCACGTAGCCTTGGTCCTCATCACTGGTGACAGGAGTGTATGGCCTGATGACCAAGCTGCCATCGATTCGTGCAGAGAGATAGACATGTTTGCCTGGGGACCACACGGACAGCTACCCAAGTGCTCTTTGAGGAGGTTTTGCATCCCTGTTACCATTCAAAACACTCAGGATTTATGATGTTTGTTTTGGTTTGTCTTTTTGAGACAGGGTCTTGCTACGCAGTTCAGGCTGGCCTTGAACTCACTTTGTAGCCCAGGCTTGCCTCAAATTCACAGCAATCCTCCTGCCCCAGCCTCCAGAGTACTGGGATTACAGGCCTGTTCCACCGCACCCAGTGAGAACAGGATATCTGTCTTTCTCCTGTGGTCCCAGAACAGATTCACCCCTAACCTCAGCAATCTCTTACCAAGCTTTGATTGGAGAAAGTCGTATCAATTACTGTCAGGACCATAGAAACAGCAGGTAAGCTGAGGGTCTGGGCAAAGGGAAAATCTTAGTGTGTGCTGGGAGTGGTGGTGTAGGGGGTTAGGAACAACTCCTGCAGAAGAGAGGTAGGGCAGTTAAGACTTCTGGGGGCATAGAAGCCACACCCTAAACGGAACCAGTGGAAACTCACAGCCTCCAGGATCCTGAGTCAAGAGAGAAGGGTGTGTGGAGGAAAACTGAAGCAGCCTGTGTCACAGACCCCAGGAGACTTGGCCTCCTAGAATACCAGGAAAGGAGCGCACTCCACACTTTCCTTACCCACAGGCAGCCCCAGAATGTGGTGGGCGGTGGGCAAGGCAAAGCGGAACTTCTTGGTGTTGTGGCTCACGGTCTGCAGGATGAACAACACAAGCGTCTCACAACACTGCTCAGGCACTGCCAAGTCCCCCGGGGCGCCCCAACCACCTTGGACGCTTTGCTTTCCTCCCTGAATTCTGCCTGCCCACCCCCAATCTCTGGCCCCTTCCTTTAAATTTACCGTCTTGTCCAGGAGTCGCAGCAGGTACTTTTCATTGGGGTCCAGAAGGGTGACTAGCGGCCGGCGGGACCTTCGCACCAAGTAAGTGCCCACGGCCACTCCGAGCAGAGTAAGCACTCCCACCCCCAGCGAGGCCAGCAGGATTGGGCTCTGTGGATAGAGGAGGCAGCGTGACCTCTACTCTGGGGAAGAGCCCAGGGCGGGTGTGGTGACTGTCTCCTACCCCTGGCTGCTCGAGGAGTGAAAACTCCGGAGCCCTAGACACAGAGCTCCAGGAGGTTAAAGCTGGCTTGGGTCCCAGCTGCACCTCCCAGCATCCAGGGCGGGACCAGGGCCCTCCGGGTTAGGATCAGTAGTGGGAGCCCAAGAACCAGATATGTCGAGGTCCCCGGAGAAGAATATGGGACAAGTGTCTCACCGGCTGTACCCCCATGATCAAGAGCTGGTCCACCACCTCCCTGCGGCGAGGCGAGACAGATCCCAGACACATCCCACAATGCGCCGCGGGGCGGGCCTGGGGGCGTGGCCACACAGGAGCAGGGGGTGTGCGCGTGGCTATGGGCGTGGCAGGCTGGCTCTGCGCCCCGCCCCTTTCACTCCTGACTCCACCTGCAGGCCAAAGAGCTCCAGCGCTTTTCCAAGATCTTTTAAGACGGTCGCTCCAGTCCAAGACCTTTTAAGTCGCTGCTCCAGCCACTCTCCACTCTTCCGGTTCCTGTCCACTGGATTCACCTATCACCAGACCAGAATGTCGTTCTAACACAGAACCCTTCTAGGTCGGGCAACTGCAGACCTCAGAGTCTAGGGATCCTACATGCAGAGTGTAACGTTGAGCCAGAGACAGGAAATGTAATCATTGTGCACTAATTCTAGTTTTTCCAAAAGGGTGAATTGCAGCCTGACAATTGAACAGCCCTGCAGGGACTCTTTCAGGAAGGAACAGTGACTTGGCAACTACATTTCCTAGTCCTTCTGGACAGAAAGGTTTTATCGTGTCAGGCCATCAGTTTTAGATTGGCGCTTCCTTTGGGTCCAAGTCCGGCTTTAGGTCCTGGTCTGGTTCTAATGCCTTAGAAGAAAAGACCTAGACTTTGGAGGCAAACTTTATTGGAATCCTGCCTCCAGCACCTACTGGCTGGACCTTGAACAGCTTGATCAACTCAAGTTCCTTCATCTCTAGATTGCCTTGTACAGCACAGCTTTCCCCTGACTTTCTAAGTTCCTGGAGGAAGGACGATGAGAGGATGTAAAAATAAAGGCCAAAGTCAGAATACAGGAAGCTGAGATCAGGTGGAGCCCTCTCTTGTGTTGGAAGAAAGGAACTACTCAACCACTGCAGCACGTTCATTTATACTTTCAGCCGGTTGCTGTCACGTGATTCTCCTGCCTAGCAACCTGCTTACATAGTAGCCTCTTCGCGCATCCTGTTCTTGGAGCTGGGGCAGCTTGTTTACATGCCTCGCCTCGGCTGCTTTGTTTTCGGTACAGCCTAGCTCCAGCCCTGCACATGTGATCGATCTATCTCTGGCTTCAGCCGTTCCCCACAATAGATGAATGTGCATTATCATCTACAGATGGGTAGCATTTGTTCACAGGGATAGTAGGAGGCTTCAATGAGATATACTAATGGGCTTAGTGTAGTTAGTGCCTGTCATTGAGATCGAAAATGTTCAATAGATGGCAGCTACTTACCAAAGAAGAAGGCAGCACAGAGCTCACTTTGGGATTTAGGACTGAACTCTGTTGGCAGCAGAAGCATGGAACAGGAGTCAGAAATAGACACTGGGATCCCCTGGAGATAAATGTCAAGATGACCATTCTTTCCCATAGGCAAGTTTTCCAACCAGAATGACACTTGCCTTGTTGTGGTGATGGATAAGATTTCCATAGATGTTATCACCATCTAAACTTGTATCATTACCAGGTATGGTGGGGCACACGTGTAATCCCAGCACTCAGAGGCTGAGGAAGAGGATCATTGCAAGTTTGAGACCAGCCTAAACTACAAAGTGAGCTCAAGGCTAGCCTGAGCTATATAGTGAGACCCTGTTTCACAAAGACAAAAAGAGGGTAAGGGAGATAGGTCAGTAGAATAAGCACTTGCCTTGCAAATGCAAGGTCCTGAGTTCAATCCCTGGTACTGAGAAAAAACAAAAACTAATGTCATCAATACAGCGGAAATGTTGAAGCTCAAGTTTTCAGCTGTATGTGATGAATTCTGTGAATAGTCAAATAGATGTGTTGTTTTACTTTTTGCTCTGGATTAGCTGCAAATGTCACTCTGACCAGGATGCATTTCCCTTTAAGTTTTCAAAGCAGCCTGCATGCACAGAATCTTGAGGGAAGTCAGGGTTAGGGTTAGAAGTGATGGGAAGTGCCAGTTTGTGTAGAGAGGGCTGACGGGGTTGGGGAGGAATTCTCCTTCTCTGTTTGGGGAGACAGAGACATTGTGGACTAGGGTTTCTGATGTTCCCACTACTGTTGTGGCTAAAGAGCCACAGATCCCTGCCACAGCCCAGTTGCATTCCTTCCCCCTTGCCTGACAGGGCTATGGCAAGGGAGGAAGTATAGAAGCAAAGGAAAGTACAACTATAACTCAAAGTGGTAGACTTTAATTAGTGGGAGTGTATCACTAGGAACATGGGACAGGAGGTACAAGACTAGAAGCTTTAGGGCCAGTCAAATAGCTCAGTGGATTAAAGCACCTGCAAGCAGGCACAGGGGCAAGGGGTTCAATCCCTGGGCCTGCAGTGCCAGCCCCGCCCCCAGGGCATGCTGAGAGGGCAATTGAGACTGGGCTTGGTGGCCCATGCCTGTAACCTCAGGTCTTGGGAGGTTGTAAACAGGAGGATCACTAGGAGTCCGAACTAGTAGTGAGATTCTGAATACCCTGTAGGCCCTTCCCCCCACACAGAAAAAAAAAATAAAATAAATAAAGACTAGAAACTTTAACTACATGATCTTAGTAACCATGGTGAACCCTTAGTCCTTTGTGTGTGTGTGTGGGGGGGGCATTTAGGGAAGGGTCTACAAGGTGTTCAGGGTCTTCCTACTAGATCAGACTTGTAGTGATCCACCTGTCTACAGCCTCCCAAGAATTGAGATTACAGGTGCACGTCACCATGCCCAGTCTCAATTGCTGTTTCAGCATGCCCCGGGGGCGGGGCCAGGATGGTAGCCCTGGGGATCGAACCCCCAGTCCCTGAGCCTGCCTGCAGGTGTTTTAATCCACTGAGCTATTTGGCCAGCCCCTGAGCCCTTAGTCCTGAAGAGAGATGCTATAGGGTTGCTGGAGAGGAGGCTGCTGCCTTGAGTAGAAGATTGGGACAATGGGCATGGTGACATAATGCCTGTAATCTCAGCACTCTGGAGGCTTTGAGCTTCAACTACATGGTTAAGCTTTTTTTTTTTTTTTTTTTTTT